CACCACCCCCCAAAAAGTGTCTCTGGTTCATAGTTTTTTGTTGATTTTGATTTTCACTTTCTTATAGTTATTCATTTTCCTGGTCCCTTATTTAAGTTTTCTAGATTCCTGCTATGAGTGAGACCATCCGGTATTTTTCTTTTTCTTTTTGGCTTATTTCGCTGAGCATGATCCCTTCCAACGCCATCCATGTTGCTGCAAATTGCATGTGTTTATCTTTTTTGAATGCTGAGTAATATTCCATGGTGTATATGTACCACATCTTCTTGATCCAGTCATCTATCTTTGGGCATTTGGGCTGTTTCCAAAGCTTAGCTATTGTAAATAGTGCTGCTATAAACATAGGGGTGCAGGTGTTCTTTGGAATTGATGTTTCTGTGTCCTTTGGGTAAATACCTAGGAGTGGAATTGCTGGATCATATGGAAGCTCTATGTTTTTTTTAGGTCCAGAAATCTCCACACAGCTCTCCACAGTGAATACCCACTTCCCCTTTTTTTCTGGAGTACATGAAAGCCAATCCCAAACATCATGTCTTGCACCTGTAAATAATTACAGATTTTTGTATATCCAAAAAGTCATTTTCTTACACAATCGGACCTAAAATGAACAATAATTCCTTTACCAAAAAATGCTCAAGAGGGGGAGGGGGAAAATGTTCAAGAAAAACATTTCCCCATCCTCCCACCATGGTCCAAACCACATTGATTCCACTTCTCCTCCAGTCCTGCAGGAAGTGTGAAACTGGTCAGTGAGTTGCAAGCACAGGCACGAGCACACATAACCCACTTCTGTTTCTTCCCCCTTAGTTCTGTATCATGTCCAGTTCCATGAAGTCCCATCATCTTAGCCAGAGGAGTTGGATGATTTGATGATTCCTATGAGCTGGCTACTAGCTGGCCACTCATGGGCAACTGTGACCTATTTGCTAACTACAAATCACAGCAGAGAATTCCTTGACTACCTCCAGAGTATAGCTCATATCACGAGGCAGGCCCAGGGACACCTAGGCCACTGTTAACCAGATTACGTGACTATCTCCATGGTGGTCTCGGGATAAGTCTGCCTGTGATAACATCAAATATTCGCTGATGCAAATGGCTCTTGATGCATGGTATGATGTCCCCTTTCCTGCCCTTCATAAAACTTTGCCCCCCATTCCTATCCCACCCTTCAGACTTTATTCCTCATACCATTATCACATGATCAGCTTTTATTAGCCTGTATGCTTCAATAAATGACACTAGAACTTCTGTTCAAGTAGCAGAGTCTTGCCTTGCAAACCTGCTCCATGACTGCTGTGTCCCTCATCCCATTCCTGCCACAAAGGCAAAGTGGCAGCAAAGTTCCTGTCACAACAAATAACAACAAATACCTTTACAAATAACTTCTTTGGGCCTCCCTGGTGGTGCCAAGGGTTAAGATGCAGCACTATGAAGCTATTCGCAGCCACTGCAGCACAAATTTGATCCCCAGGCAGGAAGGTGACCCACGTGGCAAAGCAGACCTCTCCTGCCTCCCCACTGCTCCCTTCAGTAGTATATTTCAGTACATCTGCCTGTTCTGCTCCCCATACTGTCTCTGGTGAATCCTCTCACTCCACGCATCTCTGGCCTGCATCCCAGCTCTTATATGCACAAACAAATAAAATAAATCTTTAAAAAAATAACTTCTTTACAAACACCATTTATTCCTTATGAATAGTGATGCAAATATCCTCAACAAAATATTAGGCAACCAAATCAGGAGCATATTAAAAGGATTATATACTAAAACCAAATGGGATTAATTCCCAGAATGCTGTGATGACTCAACACATGAAAATCAATCCATACATTATAAATAGAGAATGACAGAGGGAATAATCACATGGTCATCTCAATCAATACAGAAAGAATATTTGGCAAATTTCAGTACTCAACAAACTAGGAATAGAAGGGAGCTTCCTCAATATGATAAGGACCATATATTAAAAGCCCACAGCAAATATTATAGACAATAGTGAAAGATTGAAAGCTTTTCCCCTAAAATCAGGAATCAGACAAAGATACTCATTTTTGCCATTTCTACTCAACATAATATTGAAGTCCTACCCAGAGCACACAGGCAAGAAGAAGAAAAAAGGGCATCCAAATTGGAAAGGAGGAAGTAAAATTATCTTTGTAGATGACAAGATCTGGTATGTAGAAAACCCTAAAAAAAATTGTTAGAACTGATTAACAAATTCAATAAAATCATAGAATACAAAATCAATGCACAAAAATCAGTTCTATTTCTATACACTAACAATGAAAAATACAAAAAGGAAATTTAAACATTTACATTTATAATAGCATAAAAATACTGAGGAATTAACTTAGTCAAGGAGGCAAAGACTAATAAATTGAAACTATAAAACATTGCTGAAATTAAAGAAGATATAACATGGAAAGACTTTATTTGTTCATGGATGGGAAGACAAATTAGCCAAAACTAATAAACCATTCTACAAATACAAAGCAATCTCTATCAAAATTCCAACAGCAATTTTGCAGAAATAGAAAATCCCATCCTCAAATTCATATGGAGTCTCAAGGGATCCCAAATAGCCAAAACTAATTGAAAATGAAGAACAAATTTGTAGAATTCACATGCCCTATTTGAAAACTTGCTTCAAAGCTACTGTAATCAAAACAGAAAGAGATATAGAACAATGGGATAATAGAGAGAGTCTAGGAAAAAAAAACTCATATAAATTGTTGATTGATTTTTGACATGGATTCCAAGACCATTCAATGCAGGAAAGGACATTCTTTTCAACAAACTGTGCTAGGAAAACTGAATAATACACATGCAAAAAAAATTAAGTTGGACACCTACCTTATCCTGTATGCAAAAAATTAGCTGAAAATGGTTTAACACCTAAAACTATAAGGCTCCTAGAAGAAAACATAGGGTGAAATCTTCATGACATTGGATTGGCAACAGTAACAACAAAATAGACAAACTGGAATTCAAAATTAATTTTGTGTGTCAAAGGACACTACCAGAAAGTACAGAAGACAAACTCAGATGGGAGGAAATATTTGCAAATCATGTCTAAAAAGGTATCAATATCTGGAATATATAAAGAACTCAGCAACAAAAATATAACAACTCAATTTAAAAATGGGAAAAGGACTTAAATAGGCATTTCTCTAAAGAAGATACATAAATGACCAATAAGCACATGAAAATATGTCCAACATCAGTAGTCATTAGGGAAATCAATCATGTAGTCGATAAAACCCATAATGATGTATCACTTTAGAGTCATTTGGATGGCTATTATTTTTTAAAAATGGAAAATAAGCTTTTGTGAGTTGAGAAATTGGAACACTCATACATATTGCTGGTGGGAATGTAAAATGGTATAGCCACTATGGAAAACAGTATAGCAATTTGTCAAGAAGTTAGATATAGAGTTACCATATGATTAAGCTAGGTAGGTACACAAAAGAACTTACAACAGGGACTCGCATACTTCTACTGTATTGCTTCCTCTTTCATTCTATAGGCCTTGATCCCTAGTAAACATCTGTATCTTAAGTTGCTTCCTACTTCTACAGAACTCAACAGGTAACACATCCCCAGTAGATTTAGTCAACTCCAGATTAAAACTGATGATGCAGATGTTTTGCTATGACAGAATTACACAATATGATGCCAACTGTTCCTCATCACCTACTGAAGCATGCATGCGCACACATATTTACACTCTATAATGTTCTGATTTCATTCCCTACCTCCACTAACTCCATGCCATGTTCACCCATGATTCTACCCTTTTGTCCTTCTGGTACACTCTCCTCCATCTTCTGTGCCCTGCAAATACCTGTGCATGCTGCAGAACCCAGCCGATTGCCATTCACTCCTGATGTCTTCTGAGTCCTCCAGAGCCAACCACTCACCAAGTTGGCAGTCAAGCCAGAACACCTGGGAGTATGGTGGCCTTATAGGAGTTAGCTTTGTTCCTTGGCCCACAACTGGATACCCACTGGCAGAGAGGAGTCAGGATAGTGGGTGGAAGGGTTTATGGGGCATACAGAGTTCTTGAGGGAATAATTGCCAGGTTGCCAAAGCCTCCCTTGAGACTCTAACCTTGTTGGCCAGAGCAGCTGTCCCTCCTGCAGGAAGAAAGCCTACAGAGCCTACAGACCCTCTGTTCCCAGCACCAAGAAGTGTCCCTACCTATAATTGCCCACTGTCTCCCAAGTTCAAAGATCTGTGGTCATCTTGCATGATTCTCACGGTCTTTCTCCTCACCTTCCTCAGGCCAGCCCATATGAAGGTAGGAGCTGGAGGGCAGGTTCAGCATTGCCCTCCTCAGGTTTGGACAAACCACTGTTTCTTGGAGCATCAGCCCCTACTCTGTTAATCTGCTTCAAGCAAGGCTGTCCCTCTACCTTCTTTTCCCGTGGAGATTTCCTGCTTAGGCTGAACTGTGTGCCCTGAACTAAGGATTTTCCAGAAGTTCAGACTCTCAGTGCTAGTCAGGGCAGTTCCAGGCAAACCAAGCTACTTAGGCATCCTACGCCTACTAAAAACCATTTTTTATTTCATCAGCAAAATTATGACACATACTCTTCATGCAAATTCAGCATTAAACTACTGAAAAGAATGAATGTTCCTTGCAAAAGTGGCTGATTCCAGGTATGGGACAGAGTACTGGATGATCCTGTAACAACTTGTTCTAGAAAGTAAGAAAGTACTTACAAATTATGATGTGTTGAAAAGAAACAGAGCCAGATTGGAGCAGCTCCCACTAGCCAAATCTGCTACCATGTGCTCACTGAAGTAAATAGAGTAAAAGAATCCATGGATCCATACTACTAATGAACAAAGCTATTAAGCGGAGAATGATGGAAATAGAAACAGATAACCATTCATTTTCCCTAGAGATATTAAAGACAGTGGGTGAAAATTTTGAGGCCGGACTATTGGTACAGTCTGTGCTGTCCTCGAGCATCCAAGGTTACCTCACCTAGCCAGGTGCGCACTGCACGCTCGGAGCTTTTGAGATCAGCAGGACAAACGGAGGGTCTACCCCAAAGGGGAGCCAACAGAAGCTGGGAGGTGGCAAAGCGATTGGCGCCCGAGGGCAGGGGCCCGGGAGTTTGTGGGGGAAGGGAGGGCGGGGCTGGCCCCGAGCTTTTTCTGCAGGCACGCCTCACTCGGGAGGACCCCAACAGTCAGTCAGTGCTTAGGGGGCTCCGCGGCGCTTACGTAGCTGGCGTATCCCCAGATACGAGTAACAGTGGTCTTTACTGTCTGTGACACAGTACAAGACGCTCCTGGAGGCTCGGTGCGCACGCGCCGTCCAAGCCCCGTCCCCGAGCGCCAGCCGTCAGAGTCCAGGTCCTGGAATGTGCACGCGGACCGCCGGCCGGCACAGACCCGGAAGATGTCCTTCAGGCTCCGCGGCGTCGGCAGCGCAGGCCAATGACGGCTGGGGACCGGCGGCTAGGGCACCATGGGCCCTGTAGTCGGCGTGCAGACAGGACTACAGCCCCCACAGTGCTCCGGGAAGCGGTGGCCGAAGCGAAGGCGACGGAAGGGGCCGCCAACCAAGGGCGCGGGCCAATCACGAGCGGGCGCCGGCGCTAGGCACCACGGGCGCTGTAGTCCCTAGGGCGGATTCCGGCCCACAAGCCTCCGCGCTAATCCTGCGGCGGCGCGGCCCGGGCGCCGTCGGGCGGGGCGGCGGCGGACTAGCCGGCCTGAGATCAGAGCCCGATCCCGGCCGCGGCAACCATGTCGGCGCCGTCAGAAGAAGAGGAGTATGCGCGGCTGGTGATGGAGGCGCAACCCGAGTGGCTGCGCGCGGAGGTGAAGCGACTGTCCCATGAGCTTGCCGAGACCACGCGCGAGAAGATCCAGGCGGCTGAGTACGGGCTGGCGGTGCTCGAGGAGAAGCACCAGCTCAAGCTGCAGTTCGAGGAGCTCGAGGTGGACTATGAGGCCATCCGCGGCGAGATGGAGCAGCTCAAGGAGGTGAGCAACGCGAACGGCCGTCGCCAACCCCCTGGAATCCCTCACCCGGGCCTAACGGACCCCCGGTGACCCCTTGCCTCAGCCTGCCCATGGCCGACCCGCTTCAGCCTAGAATCAGCCTGCGGGGCGGACGGGGAGGTTCTGTTAGGGCCCCGGGGTGGCGAGCGGCGCGTGCGAGTCTGGGCCTCTGTGGGCAGGGGTCGCGGCTGGGGCCTTGTGGCCAGACTGCTCCTGTGGGCAGGTCTCAGGAAAGAGACCTCTCTGCGGGGCTTGGTTCCCGAGGGTGGGGTGGAGGCGTGAGGAAAAGGCCTCCCGATGCAGGTGACCCGATGGAAAAGGCCAGCTCAGGTGGGTCTCCATCACCTTCAGTCAGATTGCTTCTCCTTCTGGGAGCAGCTGCCTTCAGGAAATCTCAGTTTCTTCTGAGACCCCTCAGGCGGGAAAGCACTGGCAGGGACTCATTGCCCCTCCCGAGAGTCTTGGTTCACTCACTGCAGTGATAGTTTCTGGATGCGGTGCTCCTCCCGCTCACTTCCTGTCCTGATTGCCTCCCTGGCTCCGCAGAAGGATGACAGGTCTGTGGGTGTTTGTCAGGGAGGGAGTCTCTTTTCTCTTATGTGATGTCCACTCCAGGCTGAGCAGATCAGCCCCCAAGCTGCCTAAGAGCTTGGTAGTGGAAGAACCGCACAACCCCATGAAGTAGTTCTCTTGGGTGATTCTACCCAGCTTCTCTCTATCCCTGTCTCCCCAATTCACTGTGGGGAGTGGGGAGGGAGAAGTTGATTTCTGGAGACAACATACAGGTCTGGACCCAGGCCCTGTCCTTTGCTGGTGATGTGACTTTGGGTAGGGGATCTTAGCTTCCCCCCCACTGCATAATGGAAGTGCAACATTACCCTCCAGAAAGGGTTAGTGTCAGTGTTGAGCATCTGAAAGGGCCTGGCATGGTGTGTAGTCTGCAGGGCTCCACCTTACTCATCCTTGTCCATTTTGGCTCTTGACCTTTGGTCTGGCTCTCCACTACTCACCATCTGGTACCTCTGTTCCCAGGCAGCCTTGGTCAGATGCCGGCATCATTTAGAGCCTCCATGCTTCACTAGGGAAACCAGTGGGGTCTCAGCCTTCTGATAGTGGGGCAGAGGGAATGAATAATCCAAGCAGGTGTTTAAATCTATGCCTGGCAGAACAGGTGCTTGGTTAGATGGCTGACAGGGTGTGCGTCATGAGGTGGAGCTATGAGATAGGTAAGATATAGTCTTTTTTGGAAGGCCACCCCATCTTGGTGTGTGGGGTAGGAGGATGCACTGGGATGAAGGGGGAGGATTGTGAAAATATGGAATAGGAGTAACTTTGACCCACCAGATCTCCCAAAGGGGGCTTAGCTTCTTTGTAGCTCAGGGGCAGTTGCCACCCTCCCTCTACCTCATAGTGTGTTTTGAGGCCCCTGGTAACACACACACAACCCCCTTCTGTGTCCACAGGCCCATCTTCTTCTCCATTGTAGTAACAAGTGAACATCGCTGATGGAACTAGTCCTTGTTTAGGGACTTTTCAGTTGTCAGCTCTTTGCCATCACAGATACAAACATTTGGGCACTGCAAGAATCTCGGCTCAGTTTTGTGGATGTGTCTGGAGAGTGGATCCCTGGGAACCAGGAGGCAGGCATTTTAGTTTCTACAGATGTTTTTAGGTGTCAGTATGCTTGATTTGATGTCCCTTCTGGCTCCCACATTCATTGGCCACTTGGCCTGGCAGACATCCTCACCATCCTGAACGTCATTTTCCCTGTTGTGGGTGGAGTGAGATGGTTCATCTGGATGTTCTGCAGAAGCCAGAGGAAGGTGCGTCAGTCTTGGTGGATGTTACCAGAAAGCTTGCCCTGGGTCACTCACTCATGCCAGCACAGGCTCTTGTCAACCTAATTAGTTTTGGCCAATGTCATACTTGAAAGTATTAGCTCTTGTTTAAAAGTCAAGATTTAAGGAGATGATGTTTGTTGGTCTTTTTTCTTCTGTAGAAAGGTGAACAATCTTTCAACTTCATTTCTTGAACTGAAGTGGGTTTAGTTACTAAAAAAATGTGCTACAGTGGGGGTGCCTTACCCATGCCCAGCATTGTAGATAACTCTGAGGGAGGGAAGGTGGCTGGCTGGCCCATGTGTGGTGGGTGGGTAGATATCGGCGCTGACCCTCCAGCTCCGTCTTCCTGAAGTCCCACTGTGTCCTTGCCCTCCTTGGCTCGGTGGGGAAGAGAATCATGTCAACTACGGTCAGCGACACGGTATTTCTAAATGACCTTGGACATCTTGCTCTCTTGTCAGCTGAGCTTGCAGGGGCAGGTGTGCTGTAGTGGCAGGTGCCTTGAGTGTGTCATCCTCTCAGGTGGCGGGGTCCTGGTGTTGTCTCAGCCCCACCCAGACACCAGGAACTTGGGTCTGGACACCCTGACTGCCTTTGTACCACCTCAGGGCCTTGTCTGTGTTGTGTCTACAGCCCGGGGAAGCAGCAGGTTCTGCTGAGTGTCATGGCTGGGCATGCTGCCTTCTCTACCCTCATTGTCCCGCCTCTCTGTGAGCTCTTGGAACTCCACCTCCCCTTCAAGGCTTGGCTGCTTCTCTCCAGACTCACTTGCATCCCAGTTTTCAACTGGCGTCAGGAAGGCTGGGGTAGGGCTGGTGGGAGCAGCTACTCAGTCTCCTTCATTCCCTTACACTGCCCCCCATCCCTCTTGTAGTCTTCTCCCCCAGCATTTGGGGAGATGGAGATAGGGATGGGTGTGAGTGCCTCATACCAAGAGGAAAAGGGTCTTCAAGTCCATGTCTCATCCACTCCCTGCTCTAAAGTCACAATCCTGAGCCCTTATCTAACTCCGCAGGTAAAGGCTCACTCCATAGTCTCCCAAGCCCACACCAGCCCTGGGGGCACATCCTCCTTAGATCTGTTGTAGCTGTGGAAGCCAGGGCACAGACACTGAATCTGCTCAGACTGTGAGTCCAGATGTCAGTCCTGAGAGAGCAGACACCTTCTGAGAGGAGGGTGATAGAGATGTAGAACTTCTGTGAGGCCAGCATCTTCAGTATCCATTCTGCTCCCAGCTGGACAAGTCCTACTTTTGGCAAAGCCTTTGGAGAATCCCCCACCCCTCTGAGACCACCTAGAACTTGACACAGATACTTGCTGGGGCTGGAAGCTCTGGGAGACCCAAGGACATTTTGGGGCTGGGAGTGTAATGGTCTAACTTTGTCTAGTGAACCCTGGAGGCACTGAAGCTGCCCAGTTCCCAGGGGTCTGATAAGAGGGACAGCTGCGGGCATACAGAGGCAGTGACCGCATGGCCCACAGTCCTTGCTTTCCTGCCTGCAAAGTGTGTGGGGTGGGTGCATAACAATCTTCATGAACTTTTCCACATTTAGGGAAAAAATCCCTGAGACCTCTGCATCCAGGTGCTATCTCATCCTTCAGGGCCTGGGGTGTAAGTCACTGTGCTCCTCAATGCTTGCCTGGTGACATCTGGGATGACCCGGGATGCAGGGCCTGGGACAGGGGCCTGACATGTGTGGAAGAGCTGCTTTCCCACAATCAGTGCTGGGAACCTGTGGGCTGGGCAGGAGAGGGGGCACTGTGGGCTGTCCCAGGCTCCACAGAAGGATGACATTCTGCCTGGGCCTTCTGGAACTCTGTGGCCTGGCCCAGGCCTATCGGACGATCAGGCCAGGATGGGTGGATATGGTGCAGGTCACTGCAGGCAGGCACCTCAAAGAGCATTGTGGCCCAGTTCCACAGAGCGCTATTGCTGGACTACCCCATCACTTCAGGGAGCGCCGCCCATTCCTCCGAGTAAGGAGACCAGATTTCCCTTGTCTGTGTAGAGCTGCTACCTACAGTCAGAGCCACTTCACACCCATGTCTGGATCAAGAACCACCGGACACCTTAGGGGTAAAGAAATATTTCATTTCTTCTTAGACAGCACGGGGAAGGTAGGCAGTGGGCAGGGCCCGGCCAGGACCCTACGCACGCTGCTGGACAAGGTCTTCCCAGGCCCCAGCTCCGGGCCCTGTAGCATCTGGTGTTTAGCATGTTCCCTCTTGACCCATCCACACAGAGAGCGCCCAGCCTAGCTGCCTAGCTGCCGGTGCCAGCTTTGCCCTCGGAAATGGATTGAGAGATGGAGCTTCCAGGCAGGACAGGTGGAGGGAGGAGGGTAGATTCCCTGAGTGTTGTCAAAATGTGGGATGTGTCCGAGGTGGTCGTAGGAGACACTGGCCGCTGGAAGAGGGTATGCCAGCTGGGCTGTCTGCCATCACCCTCACCTCGTACAGAGCCTGGGATTGCAGTGTTAACCCAGTGAAGTGAGGGAGACTCCCGTGGCAGGTGAGCAAGTCTGCATTCTTTCCTGCACCTGGTGATATCTGATTTGGTCATCTTGGCCACTGTAGCGAGGGAGAAATGGCGTGTGGTCAGCTTGATTTGTTTCTTGTGCGAAGCAGTTGTTTTAACTGAGATGCTTGTTTTGCAGATAGGAATTTGTTTCCAGGTGATTGACACCTGAAAGAAATGAACATAAAGAGAGTTTAGCATTTAATGATTTTGTTCTCATATAACACAAGATGAACACAGAACCTGCCCCGATGGTCCCCATGGCATCTTTCCCTCCTGAGGCACGGTGCCCACTGGCACCCCTCCGGCCCCTTTGTCAAGATGAAGTTCCCTGTGTGTTGCAGTATCTGTGCTTTCAACTCTTTTACATATACGTAAAACTGTGCTGCCTTTTCTTCATTTTCTCAAATAAACTGTTTTAAAACAGTTTTAGGATTACAGAAAATAGTGAGGATAGCACAGAGAGTTCCCGTGTGCCCAGCACCCATTTTCCCATTATTAGTGCAGTACATTGTTACAGTTGCTGAGCCAATATCAATGCATTGTTATTAATTAAACTCAGTGCCTTACTCACATCTCCTGAGCTTTTGCCACTCTTCTTTTTCTTCCCCAGCACCCTATCA